AATCGTATTAAAGAATTTTACAACAATTGAAAAGCTACTTTCTCTGATAAAATTCTCTGCAGTCATTAACGTAATATATTCGCGGTTATTGCTCATTTATGAATTAATATAGGTAAACACTGGTGGAAATAAGTATATCCGAATAGGCAAATAAATAAAAATACGGGTAGGTAGGATAATAAGTATGAATAGGTAGGAATGGTGTAGGTAGGACGATAAGTATAGACAGGCAGAAATAAATACATCATATGTACGTACTTGATAATTGGAAAGGAGGAATTAAAAATTGAATAAAATTTTTAATTATAATTTTAAGTTTTATTTAATTAGGGAAGATTGAAGTCAAAAGTAACAAGGGTAAGTTGTAACACTTATATAAAAAAAACCTTATTAACAAAATATGCAAGTGTAAGGAAGAGACAGAAGTTTAATAAATATATTATAAACTTCTATCTCTTCCTTACGCTTTTGTATTTTGTTTATTACGTTTATATAAGTACAACTTACCCGTGTTACTTTTGATCCCAGTTTCTCCCATCAGAGCATCCCGTTCCAATTATCAAATAAAAATAAAAATAAAATAAATTAATTTCAAATTTTATTGATTTTTCAGCTACCTGAAATTAAATCCTTTTTTGTAAAATACTGTACGCGTCCAAATTATGTAATGCGTTATATTGTATATTATATATTGTATATTGTAATTAATTGTATTGTAAATAAATGTATGTACTTATAATTTCAAGTATGTATTGTAAAATTTATTGTAAACTATGTCCAGATAAATGTTATCGTATATACTTACTTTTGTAATTTGCCAACGATTACTAATAAGTTATTCATTTACTATATAATATATAGTATATTAAATATATACATATATCCGTATTGAATATGAATTTAATACAGATAGCATTTATTTTGTCGTAGTGAACCAAATTGTTGCATAATTTAAATGTAAATTATACGAAATCGGCGAAACATATAATAACAAAAATTGTTTATTAATTTAATAAGTTTAATAAATATTCAATTAAAAAAATTTTTTTTTATTGGATTTTATCTTAAATTAAGAAGTCATTAATAATTTTAAGGAACTTCTAATTAAAATTTTTATGTTAATATAATCGTCAATTTTTTTTCCGATTTATTAATGTACAAATTTATTAAAGAAGTCATGAAGATTGGAGCCAAGTTAAATATTAACTTTTTGCTTACTTTTTGACATTTACATTTTTAATATTATAAAAGTACAAGTATATTTTAGTAATCAATTTATTATATGCAAAGTCCTCATCGCTTCAATCAAAGTCCTTCGCGTCAATATATGTCAGTAATTGCGTGTTTTGTTCCGACGGAAAGTTGAAATTATTTTCATCATGGAGAGTTACTCCTCGTCGCTTTTTTGTGAAGTCCATTCGCGAAGTCTAGTTTGATATCTTCGGAGATTCTTATATAGGATCTTATACAGGATCAGAATTATCCCGAGTTTTCTCGTCTGCAGTTACTGGAAGACTAATAATCTTATTAATGAGTCAATGATAATTGCTATATATTTTAAAGCCAATATTCCGAAATTATAATTTAATGGTATATTTTAGCATACAATTTTTGACACTTTTTTGTTTTATTAAATGTTCTCCCACTAATAATAATGTTAGTAATAGTACTGTCTTAATAACAAATAAAATTTAGAATTATATGTGACTAATATAAATATATAATAATTATTTATTTAAATCTAAATTATTAAGTAAATTATTAAGTAAATTCAATTTTTATACAAACAATTTGCTTATTTTTCGATGATTGCTCTAATAAAAATGTGGTTACGAATGTGTATATTTAATTTTCTAACTGTTATTTTTAAAATCATTTTTAGGTATTGGACATCCCGCCATTCCAGAAAATTATTTACCATTAATTTTTATGTATATTTTTTATGTAAAATACATGCAGGTATTATGAGATTATATTTAACAAATTTTAATATTTGTCGACTTAGATAATTTTTACCAAAGTATTTCATATTCTTTTAATAATGTATCGTGATTGTATGAATTCAATAAAAAATATATGGGTAGAAAAAATTCGAGATAAGTCGAATGGGTATCCTCATATTAGCGGGATATTAATAATTAAAATTTTTGAAGAATACTGAAAAGTAAGGAATTGTTAAATTTTATAATAAATTTTTCAGTATATATATATATATATATAAATGTTCCTTAAAATCCCGTTATTATCGGGTTCGGCTTATCTCGAACAGTTGGTACCCGAGAAACTTTTGTACCCATACATATGAAAAATTACAATAACGCATGTATTTTATTATTAAATATATTCCTTTGTAACCACTAATCCATAAGGAAATTATTCTATCCATTTATTTTTAATAAGAAATGATTTTTAGTGTGGCAGAACATACTTTCTCGCAAATTTTAATATTATATTGATGAAATAATAAAAATGGTACTAGTAATTGACATGCTTTCAAAATTATTAATTACTACCGTAAGTGGTCTGGAAGATTCGGGATTCACATTCTCCTGTAACAAGATCATTGGTGTTTAACGAATTGCTTAACTTTTCTTTGCGATTGGATCTTATGAATTTGACGTAGAATCGAAATACGTGTTTAACGAATTGCTTAACTTTTCTTTGCGATTGGATCTTGTAAATTTGTAGAATCGAAATATGTAATAAATTGAGTTCGCTCTCCACTATGAAGATTAATCTTTTTTGTATCGGTTACTAACGCGCACACTATAAGGCAGATTGATCTTGATATGTCATCAAAGGATTGAGATTATCTTGAACGCGATGAAAGTAAATATATTAATGACTTTTAATCATTATATTAATAAGTTGTCGCTAATTAATCATTAATATGAGTATATCAGTAAATATGATCTAATAATTGTTAGTATTTGTTTTCGCGTTTTTAAATATTTTATTAAACATTGGTTTAGAAAAATTTGTGTTATCGTATGTATTTTCGACGTTTTCGTATAATCCCGTATTACTAATTTGTTAATTATGCTCCTATATTATCATTTTTATTATATTTTGAACAGCATTTATAATTGTATATTATATTGTAAGCAATTATTATAATTGTATTTGTGAATTGTATAAAAGATTACAATAAAAGATAATATTAAAAAAGTTATTGCAATATAATTAGTAAATACAAAAAAATAATTTAGACATAAAAATAAAAAAATAAATTAAAAATATACTTACCTGCAAAAACGAGCTACTAAATTTATTAGTGACCTGTTTTTTTTTTACGGGTGAGTATACTTACAAAGAAAAGAGGACCGCTGATAAAATTGGCGGGGGTGGCGGAGGGCCTCTAGCTCGTTTTTGCTAAATTAAACCTTAATTTAATGATATATTGATTGGAGAAGTTTGTATTCAAAGACTGTATAATTAAAATTGCTACTGCGGTTATAAATTTTGGAATATACTTATATACTAGTAATTATGTTTGGTAAAGACATGCTATATTTGGTTTGATATTTCTGATTTCTTCTTTCAATGATCATTTTTACATGTTTTTATTTGACAAGTACTCATTTTGATCCTTCGAGATGACATTTCAAAATTACCGCGGCATAAATGTTTAAATGGCCTCATTTAGAATCTGCGCAGAATCATACGAAATTTGTCTCGATAACGAACACACTTGACTTTCTTCTTTTTTTCCTTCCACTATCGAATTCCATATATGGTGGATACCTTCTTATCGTACGATTGCAGGTACGACGCGAAGTAAAAAGATGGCATATAATTTGAAGAATGAGGAGGAAGTGAATGAGTACTTGAAGAATCTTCACATAGAATATCAATTCGGCTGTTACAGCGAGAAAAATCCGGAGGGTGAGTAAAGCTAGAGTCTAACCTCACGATTAAGAAAAATAATCTTTTGCTCCGAAAACAGTATGCCACTTGTTGGGCAATTTTTACGAAGCGATAAAAGTGGATACGGACAAAGCTGCTTCGTTATACAAGACGACCTGCGATCAATATAATTACGCCAGAAGCTGTGCGAAATTCGGCGATTTTAAAGTGATCGGTGAGTTTACCGAGAGAGGAGTATGAGGTATTCTAGCAGACGCTCGCTATGTTAGTTATAAACACTTCTGGTAGATGTCAGGAGCATTTATTATAGCGCAGACTTCGAATCTTTCAAATATAATTTCTGTCTATTTTTATCAAAGTAGATTAATTTTAATCTCAATTTAATAATCTACAATTTTCTATCTTTTCCTAGTTAAAAAATAAAAAAAAAATGAAGAGTAAGTTGAACCTGGATTAAAGTTAATCTATTATAGCAGAGTTCGAATTTTGAAGGGCATTGTGATTTTATATATTTAGATTTCCAATAAGATTGACTTTATTCTTGGTTCAATTTACTCCTATCTTTTTCTAATTCTAAGACTTCTAAGAATTGTAAAAAAATAAACAGTAAGATAAATGGAGGTTGAAGTTAATTTTACGTTGATGCATCCAGGCCTTTATATATGTCCACTTCTATCAATGTAGATTCACTTTAATCGTAGTTTGATTTATTCTTTATTTTTCATAATTCTTAGAACTTAGAAGAAGATAAGAAATAAATAATGTAAGTTATAATTAAATTATATAAGAAGTTAAGCTTATTAGTAAAAGTGGACAGTAATATTATAAGATTCCATCCAATTAATGAAGAGATCGTATAGTGAAACCATAGATTTGAAATAAAAATTGAAATTAATTTTAAATTTAAAATCCAATTACAAATATCGCTCCAAATCTAATTATTTTAGAATTAATTCCCTTTTAACATAGGAAAAGGGTGCGAGAAGGACATACCGACAGCATACAAGTATTTATCAAAAAGCTGCGAACTCAATGACGAATATGGGTGTCTACATGCTGGTGTTCTGGGAACATCTAAATCCGACGTCGGAGAAAAAGACAGAGCCACCCAGATTCATGCAGGTGCCAAGTATCTGAAGAAAGCCTGCGACATGTACAACTTGGACAAGGCCTGTTTTTATCTATCGGGTATTTATCTAGGAGGTTTAGAGAACTTCATCGAGAAAAATTACAAAGAGGCATACAAGCTATCATTGAAGAGTTGCGAGCTCGGCAATCCGTACGCTTGTGCGAATCTGTCGCAGATGCATTCGCGCGGAGAAGGCGCGCAGAAGAATCCTGAGCTTGCTGCAACCTTCA